GGGGGGGGGGGGGGAGAAGCAGCCGGGAAATTCCCAGCTGCCGATCACAAAGCCGGATATGAAGATGATTGATACATTGTAGCTGTGACCCGATTGGCTTATATTGGGGAATTGATACATTGTATTGGGGTCTGATAGGAGTATATATGATGATTACACATGGAGTATACAGGAGGTATACAGGAGGAGCGATCGGAGAACTCTGAAGTTTCCGCAGAGTCCAGAAGAACCGTGCGCGGAACTGTAGCAGCGGGGGCGCGACACTAAGCTACGGAGCGGAGGGATCATCTCCTGGACTTCCGATGTTTCCACAGAAGACAATGTAAACACAGCGCAGAAGTCTTCTGTCTACATCGGGAGGGGGGTGACACCGCTGCGCGTCCGCTGAGTACGGGGAGCCGAGCTGTTGTCACTGTTTGATCTGAAGGTGATCCTCTCCCCCCCATGAGGAAAGAATAGAGAATATTCATTATATGGAGATTAATCCTAAAAATATTCCTCCCGGCGGGTCCACCTGCGTTCACTGAGCAATCATCAATGTCCAGGTGACAACAATGGGGGGGGATTTATCACATCCGGAGCAGTTGTCCACGACAACCAATCAGCCTCTCTCTTCAGTTAAGAATTGAAAATGAAAGCTGGAAGCTGATTGGTCGCCGCCCACAGCTGCTCCGGATGTGATCAATCCCCCCAATGTCCTGATCTTCTTAGATTGGGGGGGGGGAGGGGGCAACCTTGGCACTCCCGCTGTGCTGAAACTACAAATCCCATAAGGCATTGCAAGGCCACATGACTCCCAGAGGCAGAAGCATGATGAGATTTGTAGTTTCAGTGCAGCTGGAGAGCCGAGGTTGCCTACCCCCGATCTAGATGGTCAGTAGTACCAGCATCAGTCTCCATCACCCCCTCCCCAATATAGGTTTATTACGTGCCGATTGGGGTTCTCTACTTCCTGTAGCAGGCCAAGCTGTCCAGCACATATGACAGTTACAGGAAGTCCTGGGTCGGGGGAGCAGCTGTCAATCAAGTCGCTACGATTGCCGGCGTGCTGCGGAGGTCTGACCGCTAACTTTAGATTGAACCGTTTCCATGCCGGATTCTGCTACCTACCTAAATCGGAGCGCGTGTTGGTGAAGAGCTCGGCCGGACAGAATTCACACAGGTAATATTTGCACACCTGCCGAGGAGAAAACAAAAAGAGGTAAAACCACAAGAACGGCACCCGGCACATTATTGTTATACAGGATTTATAGAGCGCCAACAGTGAGTGCAGCGCTGTACTATATAAGGAAGACATTACAGTCACAATACAAGATGGTGAGGAGGGCCCCGCCCCCGAGGGCTTACAATCTACAGGGATCCCTCTGTGTATGGGGGACGAGACGTGACAGG